TAATACATATATACACACAATATACCATTGTCATCCATTTGAATGTGATTGAATGTGGCCCTCTTGATTGTGAAGTTGAGTGCCTTATTTGCTGTGTAGCTGAGGAGGGCTATCACAATGAATGTGTGATTCTACATTAGATGTTTTAAATTGTGAAGAGCATGTTTTTTGCCGCCTCTGTAACCCACTCTGATTTTTGATGCACTGTTGGATGCATTAGTACCTCTACGCTTTCCAAACCTCCAAGCACCCGTTCCTGCCAAACAAGAGCCATTTTGTTAGTTACGTTCTTCCAGAGTCACTTTAGCTAAATCCACACTTCACAGCTAATTAAGAAGAGCGCTGCACTCTCGTGTGCCGTGTAGGTGGTAAGAGTGTAACATTTTGCATGCCAGTGCATATTGCACACGTCTTTCTTTATGTTTTCCAGTGAAATCATCTAAATAACCCTAAAACAAGATATTTATTGAGAATTGTTTAATTGGATGGTGTTGTATGTACCAAAATGGAGCTAAGTCAATGCTATGTTGGTAAAATATTAGATAAATTGCTAGATAGTGCACAATAAGTTCAGGAATATGCATTATGAAACTAAATAGTGTCATTTTTGATTTCATGTTTATTTTAAAAGCCGCTTCATCTGTTAGCTTAACTTGGTTAGCCTTTGTTTTTTTTATCTAAACAACAATGTGTGTTGCTAACAGCCATGTTGTTCTATAAACCACTTTATTCACATTTGATTCAAGGTTTAGTCATCTACATAGTGTCATTAGGTTGTGACTGTGACGCAAGTGCTCTCCGGATATCCTATTGGCCGATGTTTTTCAGCTGTTGGCTCTTCAGCTTATTAGCGCTGACGCATTTGTGGAGTATCTGGAACTCAGCAGCCCTCCACCCTCCAGAATCATTTCCTTTTGCCTTTATCTTCTGACAGTGCTCATACATTGTGTGTGTAATTGCTAATATCTAACTGCTATGCAGCTTCCCGAAACAATATTAGTTCATCAGTCCTTCTTCGCCCAGAGCACAGTAGTTACAGCTACTTGCTGTGTTACACAGAGTGATCTCAAATGTAGAAATGTAGAAAAAACTTGTAGAAATTATTACTAAATTAGCATAATAATGTTCTTAAAATTTCCACTCCAACTTGTAATGCATTAAAAAATGTACATTTCAGAAATGCATGAACAGCTACAAATGTTTTATTCAAAAGATAAAAATGGAGTTATCGGTTTTTGGAAATGAACTCTTCATATTCTGTAATACAGTGTATTACAATGCTATACTAAATATATATGAGTCAAAGACAAGACGTCCCATTTTGGTGTCTGCATTAAATACAATTTACAAAAGTGATTTTATAAACATAAAAAGCATATTAAATGCAAGTAAAGTAATGTGGAAATAAAATGTCAAAATGTGGGTGAAATAATGTTTCATCATCATTCAACTTAACACAAACAGCATACTTATTCTGACTTAAAATATGTGAAAGGAAAAGTTATCATACTAAATTTTATTATATTTTAAATAATATTTTAATTATTTTTGCTCAGAAAATAATTGAATTAAACAGGACACATTCTAATGTACAAAAGCAGCCCTTTCGTAATATATTATTGATAAATATCTTTTAAAATATAAGTTATAAAACGTTTAAAAAGGCAAATTATATATAAAACAAATATTGAAAATATTTATATATCTATCTGTGTGTGTGTGTGTGTGTTTAAAATAGTTATTGTTCTGGTTTTTTTTGCACATATTTCATGACAAATATGTTGTTTCTGTTCAGTTAATACAATTCTAAATATATTTCCTTTATTTATTAATAAATTCTAAACTATTAAAGCATAAAATAAAAAAAATAAATCAAAAGTTTATATATATATATATATTAGTAAAAATATAATATAACATATAAAATATATATAATATAGTTTTATAGTTTCATAGCTCCGTATATGTAATAGTTATTGTGCTTTTTTCATTCTTTGCACATATTCCATGAAAAATCTATTTATTCTATTAAATTCCCTATATTTTCTGCTCTGAATGGTTCCATGTGTTGCGTGCGTCTTGCTGAAGTGCAACACAGGTCACCTGACCTCTATTACTGTCCTTCAATTTCTTTGTACTTTTTACACCTCCTGGCCATTAAACTGCCTGCTGTTTTCCCACAACATTGCTTTATCTCTCTAATACACAGCATGCTGGACAGACACAGACATGCTTTATGAAGAATTATTAATTTATTTAGAAAAAATATTTAGTTTGAGCCGCCGAAACATGTCAATCGTGCTCTCTGCATTGAAAATGCTTCACCAAAGTACATTAAACAGCTCTTGTGTAAGTTAAATGGTGGTTTAACACAAAGGTGAATTACTCATTAGTGTTGGGCGATATGCTCAATTTTCATATCGTCCTATCGTCAGCCTGTGAGATCGCCGATACACGATATCATCGTGCTAATTTATGTAATTTACTTACATTCTAAAAAAAAAAAAATCCGTTAAAAAAAGGAAAAAGTACTGGCAGCTCATTACCCAGACTTTGTACCGTAATTAAAAAACAAAAATTTTCTGTTAATTGAAGGTCTGCCTACAGTAAAAAAAAAAAACAGGACTTTTTAATGGTGCATCTATATATATTAAAAAACCATATAAAGCAAATAAATCCAGCACAATATAGGAATTGAACATGGTTTATTTTTACTTCATGTAAACATTCTTAAAATGAAAAATGCCTGTATTGTGGAAGACAATTTAGCTTTAAACAGTAACAGACAGAATTAGAAAAAGAAAACATGAGCACTCGTACAATACAGGTGTTGCACCAAACAGTGGTCACAAAATTTAAACTTCACAAACTGAAACAGTCAAGATTTAAAAAAAAAAGTCCTATAAGAGAAGACAATATTTTTTTATAGGGATAGTTCACACAAAAATGTGAATTCTGTCATCAATTACTCATCCTCATACCATTCCAAACCCATAAGACTTTCATTCATCTTCAGAACACAAATGAAGAGTATTTTTTAATGAAATCTGGGTGCTTTCTGTCCCTCTATTGATAGCCTATACCACTTTCAAGGTCCAGAAAGGTATAAAGACATCAATAAAGTATGTGACTCCAGTGGCTTGACAACAATTTTTTTGAAGTGATGCAAATTATTTGTGTGGAAGAAAACAAAACAAAACAAAACAAATGATGTTTTTTTTTTCACAATGCATACATGTTGAGTTGACATGAGAGCAGATGTTCTAACAATACAACCCATCCCAGAAGCCTTGCACTTGTTACAAGCAGAGAAAAAAGGGACACTGCATGCAAGCCTCATGTACTAAAGGTCCTGTTTTTTTTGTTTTTTGCAATTGTGCTCACATTGGTGCCTTTTTAAAAATGGTGTCAACACAACACATAATAAGCACTGTGGTTCTCTCGTGAACTATGATCTATGCTGAAGTGAAGATGTTTTGTGAACAGAAAGCACTCATGTTGCTTCTTAAAATTGATGTTAAGCCACTGGAGTCACATACTTTAATGATGTCTTTATACCTTTCTGGACCTTGAAAGTGGTAGTTGCGTAGGCTGTCAATGGAGGGACAGAGAGCACTCAGATTTCATTAAAATGATCTTCATTTGTGTTCCAAAAATGAACGAAGTTTTACAGGTTTGGAACAACATGAGGGTGAGTAATTACCAGAATTTTCTTATAATATTTTTGGTGAACTCTCTCTTTAAGTTAGATTACTAACCTGTAATTCACGCTAAATTATCTAAGTGCTAAACTTCAATTGGCATGATTCTGCAACAACACTTTCTTGTACAGCATTTGAAAATATGGAACAAAGATTTGTTCACTCATGCTTGACATTTCAATGTGAAACTAAGAAAACTATATAATTTGAAGTAGGAGCATGTGAGACGCAGGGCTCCAAGTGTTTGTGCACTCTTAGTATACCGCTCACCATGTGCCAGTTTGAGGAAACTACTGAACACAGCCTCCAGGTTTTTTCCCCCTTTATCTGCATGTTTAGTCCAAGTTTCATTTTGAGATTTGAAAAAAGCTCAAATGTTACATGGATTTTCGAAGTTGTTCATGCAAGAGTTGCCTTCATCTCAACCCTCGTTCAGGATTTCTTCACAGGAAAACTCTAAAAGAAATGGATATGACAAAAAATGAAATTAATGAAACTGAACAGAGTAACATGCAGGTTGGAGATGAAAAAGCAATCATACAGTATTTTAAGTTCATTATTAAATCAACTGCTATCCCTAATACTTTCCAATTCAAACAATTGTTTATAAATTGCTTAACTTACATTTCCAATGGTCTCCATTTGCATCTGTCATATGAGCTTGTCAGATCAACTATATCTTACAATATACTTCATTATTTTCAACGAAATAAACAGCAACACAACCAAATGCTTTATACACATTTCATAACATATGTGTTGCTTACTTCTGTATGAATTCCAGCGTAAGTGCCATCTCCTCTGGGTATTTGTAGCTAACAACCGCAACAGGGGAGGAGATGTGGTTAACTTCATTTAACAGGGGAGGAGATGTCATTAACTTCTTGAATGACAGCGATCTTGAACTGCCCATCACCTTAAACAAAAAAAGACATTACAAAATTACCATATAAATAATGACAAGCAGCTTTGAACACACCTTTGAAGGTGTGTTCAGCAACCAACTTCATTTCAATATTTAACACTAATGTTAAATAAAAACTGTTAATAAAACAGAATACAAACCCATGATAAGAATGCAGGGGTGCTTGAGATTCACAGTACAGCAGCAATTACGTCCTGTCATTAGAAAGAAAACAAAACAAACACTATGAATGTCATGAACTGCTGTCCCTTTAAAACATGACGCATATCTGACACACATCCAATCTACTTGTCTACTCCCGTCTTTACGGTCAATTAAGACTTTTTAATTCATTTTAGACTGTGTTGTTTACGAGGTCACTCACCAAGAACGGTCATTTTGGCATAATGTCGTGTGCATTTGTCCATTACAGTGCGAAAGAGAACTCAAAGCGCTGCTGGCGCGCTGTCTGATGTCTGATTCGTCGGATGCCTGTGTTCACTCAGCCGCTTCACAGACAGCCTGCTAGTAACGTTACCGAATTGATTTCTCTTTAGCATGTTATCGTCCTTGTGTGTGTAAAACAAGACAATAAAAGGTCTAAACTTACCACATTTTGCAGAAAAGGTGATAGTGTAATCCTTGAAGAATTCGCGATGCCAGATCTTCACTTAGTTGTATCTTCATCTCTTTTAAATTAAGAAAGATGTAAATGGTCTCTCCTTTTCTCGACAATTCCTCTGCCAGCTTTTGTTGAAGGCATTAAACTAACTACATTAGTACTGCGCTTCAGATTTATCACAACTGCTTCTCTTCAGTAATGACAGATGCTTGAAACGATATGATCAGCACTAAATACAGCGCATCAACAACAATTAAAAGAGTAACCTCCGTAAGTAAGATGTGTGATAAGCAGAAAATGTTAAATGTGACGGCTCCGACATTCATTTGCCAAACAAGCCAGACCTTAACTAAATTAATGTTGACACACATCCGATCTACTCCCGTCTTTACGGTCAATTATTTTAGACTGTGTTGTTTACGAGGTCACTCGCCAACAACGGTCATTTTGGCATAATGTCGTGTGCATTTGTCCATTACAGTGCGAAAGAGAACTCAATGCGCTGCTGGCGCGCTGTCTGATGTCTGATTCGTCAGATACCTGTGTTCACTCAGCCGCTTCACAGACAGCCTGCTAGTAACGTTACCGAATTGATTTCTCTTTTGCATGTTATCGTCCTTGTGTGTGTAAAACAAGATAATAAAAGGTCTAAACTTACCTCATTTGGCAGAAAAGGTGATAGTGTTATCCTTGAAGAATTCGCGATGCCAGATCTTCACTTAGTTGTATCTTCATCTCTTTTAAATTAAGAGAGATGTAAATGGTCTCTCCTTTTCTCGACAATTCCTCTGCCAGATTTTGTTGAAGGCATTAAACTAACTACGTTAGTACTGCGTTTCAGATTTATCACAACTGCTTCTCTTCAGTAATGACAGATGCTTGAAAGGATATGATCAGCACTAAACACGCTGCATCAACAACAATTAAAAGTTAATAAACAATTAAAAGGGTAACCTCCGTAAGTAAGATGTGTGACGATAAGCAGAAAATGTTGAATGAGACGGCTGCGACATTCATTTGCCAAACAAGCCAGACCTTAACTAAATTAATGTTACGTCAACAGTTTATGTGACATTTAACAACATAGTCTATAATTTACCACGGAAGTGTAGAAACAGGTTCCCCAAATTTGAAAGCCGACTTTAAAATGAAACTTTGACCAAGAAGTTCTCCGTGAGTAATGGCGCCTGCTCTTGCACTGTTTTCGCGCCGAAAAGCGACCAAGGTTCTCGCTCCCACAATGCAAAGCGTAATTCAAAAATACGGGAAAACGCATGTAAAAACCAAAAAACGGAAAAATTACTTTAAATATTACGGTATATTGTACTGTATATTGACAGTTTTTTCTTACAGTGTAGTTTCATTGCGGGAAAGTGAACCAATGCCAACGTAAGGCTAAAAGCAGCCTAATGTTTTTTATATGACTGAATTTGTATTTAACAAATTAATAGAAACATCGTAAGTTACTAATTATAATGCGTACATTTCCTCAGTTATTCAAAAAGTAGCTACAGAAAACGAGCAAAGAACATTACATTACCAAAAAACATCATCACAAGCTCAGTCTAGCGCGAGTTTATGCACTTTAAAAACACTCCCGTTAAAATCAGTGAATATACACTGTATGATGAATAAATCTCTTATACTTACATCGCACGTAGATCTGCACTTTGTTGTTTATGATGAGAGAATTTGCGAGTCATAATTCAGTCAGCGCGCGCTGAACAACGAAACTCTGCTGTTTCAGTGATGACTCATCTGAACGCCTCTGATTGGCCATTGCATTCATAAACTCAGCATAATTGTGTGTGATTGGTTAAAACGCGCAATACTGTAAAAACGCGGAAAAAGAAATATAATGCAACCAATAAGCCCTAGTATTAATTAGATAGTATTAGCCTGATAATAATAATAATATTAATAATAATAATAATCGTCTTGCTATCGTCAAAGGCATCAGCCACAGGTGATATCGCTGACTATCGTCGATACACGATACTATCGTCTATCGGCACAACCTTATTACTCATATTAGCTCCAGGCTCATGTGTCACTAAACACTGGACTGAATAATTGAGGAATTAGAAGAGTAATGTGCTCCTACTTTGATCTGTGTGTTTTATTAATATTTAAACAAAGCTTTGTGTAAGGTAGAAGTACACAATTATCCAAACAATTATCTTCACTTAAGATACAAAAGCTTGTATCAAATGGGTACAACTGGCTCAAGGCAACCCTTAGATTTATTTTATTTATTTTTTTAACTGGTACTAATTTGATGTTTATTTAATGAAACATTTCATGTCTTTATAAGTATTCAATAAGTGCAATACATGCAGTATGATGAACTTTCATACCTCACATTTCACAATTCTTTTGATTGCAGTAACAAAAATTCAAACATGACCATGGCTTTGCTAGCATCATGAAGAGCTATGCTTTATTCAGTAAAACATGTTGAGTTTATTTATTATGTAAATTCCCAGAAAGTAAATGTAAGAAACTGGAAGTTAAGCATTTGGCTGAATCTGTCATTGCTATCATCACCTCAGCTTGGTGTCTCTTCAAAAAGTCTGTAAACAATAGTAAACACTGTCGTTGTTGAAAAAATTAAATATTGATGTTCCAGCACTGTTTTAAACAACCCTGTCAACATTTATATATGAGATGTACACAATCGTACAACTGAAAC